TTGCGTCGCCTGGTACGTAGCCGGCCAAACGCCGTCTTCTTTCCATGCCTCGCCTGGCTCTGCCTCCTGGTCCTTCGATGGTCCATAACGTGTAGTTTTTGTACGTTTGTTTCTCTTCAGAAACCGAATCTTCATGCGTGAAACTTTGTGTGCTATTTCCAGTGATCACAACTGACATATTCATGTTAGGAAAGAGTGCAAGAATTTTCCGCGCAAGATTCCTTTAAGAACACACATATATTAAATGTAGGCCCTTTATCAGGACAATCCCAGTTGGGAAGACAGAGAAAATTTAAAGGGATTTTCGTCCCCTAACCCTTCGGGGAAGCATACCTTACGGCCCCAGGGCCCTCCCTTGAAACACCCTCGTTTTGGAAGTAAAAGCGCTTGCAGATAAGCGCAAACGCAATCAACTGGTAAATTGAAAGCGAGTTGCAGCGATTATTCAAATCGGTCGCGTTCGCGGATCAGCGGCAACGGCTCCGCCTCTGATGATCGTTTTCCTATAAAAGTCAATGCCAAACATATGTACACACATTTTTTTCCTGCTCAAATTTGTCATCCATTCATCCTTGAAAATAGCTGCCATTAAGGTTTGCCTTATCATCATATCATTTCCATATCATTTGATTAGTGCCTTATCTGTTCTGTAATTATCTAGAGATTTTCAGAGATGAAAGGAGGCACCACCGCTGTATTTCTTGTCGCTATTTTAAGCATAGCCTTGTTAGTTTAATTTTTACGAATTTCACACAGAATTTTATTTCCGATCATGTGTTTTCCAGAGCTTCGCCGTACAGGTCGGGCTATGGCATGGATAGTATGATGGGCTATGGAGGGTATGGAAGTTATGGTGAATATTTGTAAACATTAGTGTTGTCGTTGATGATTGTTTTCGGGATACGACATGGATCTCACTTTTATTCATTATTATCGAGGAATGTTCCTCCACTCTTTCTTCCCACATATGACTTGCGGTATTCACTCATTATTCCAGAATATGCTATTCCCCAGCTGATATGTTCACTATCACTCGATTGACTCCGAATTGATAGGGGTTT